CCTGCCGGCCTGATTGCTCCCAACTGCCCCCCCCTGCCGGCCCGATTGCCCACAACTGCCCTCCCTGCCAGCCATCTTGTGGTGGCCATTTTGTTGTGGCCATCTTGTGACGACATGCAGGTGGTCATCTTGTGGCAGCAATCTTGTGACTACATGGGGGTGGCCATCTTGTGACGAGATGGGGGCCACCATCTTGTGATGACGTGAGGGCATGACGGTCACCTAGGCTTTTATTAGTATAGATTTGCTACCATGGGAGTCCTTATAAGCGCACTTACAGCAAAACACAAAAAAGAAGGCAATGAAGTTCTGTTTCTTTTCTAAAGCTCTTATTCCCTTTCATTCATTAAGATTATACTCTTACCACATTTAGTCAGTCTCACTATGTGGTAAATGCTCACCCTCTACTTTGCCTGATGAGGTGTGTGTAGAAACAAAAAGGTTCTGATTGAAATATCACTGTGCTAGAGTGTTGCTGTCTGAAGAAAAAGTAAATGTTACACCAAGTGTGGAATATATCACATTCCTATAAGAGGAAATCCAAGTTATAGTTTATGATTGGGGAGAATAGTTTTGTACATGAAAAAACACTAATTTTAAAGAATTTAGTAAGCATGAATGAGAGTCTATGAATTAGCAGTCCTTTTCATATGTTAGAGTAATTTAGAATTTAAGTAAGTGAAATTGAAGATCTTTTGCCAAGTGTAGGCAAAAGAATGCATGAGGTAGAGGGAAGAGAAAATCATATTGAATTAAATATGAAATAAAATCTTGTTCTTTCTTCTATATATAACCGTGTTGTAAAGTACTTGGAGTTAACGTTTGTATGTAAGAAGCCACAGATTGTAGCAGTTGTAAAATTGATCAAGTGTCTAGAAATATATTCTAATGTGGGATTTTTATACTATGGAAATTGGCGTGAGTTTAGAAATTGTATGTTAGGTCATATATTCCTTTTCTTAGACTGAAATGAGAACTTAATATAGACTTATGCTCTATAGTCCCTCAAACCTCCAAAACAAAATACTGAGCATAATTTAGTTGGGTTTATATTAAATACATTTAAATATGTAATAGGGCTTCAAGTAAATATTTTTTTAACTATCTGATTTTCTTTTCACAGTTTCACACTCTGGGATTGGACTCTGAACCACTAAAACCATGAGCAACTACAGTGTGTCCTTGGTTGGCCCAGCTCCTTGGGGTTTCCGGCTGCAAGGTGGCAAGGATTTCAACATGCCTCTGACAATCTCTAGTGTAAGCAAACTTTACAGATTTTATTACAGATGTTTATTCAATGCTTAATCCTGGAAACCTCAGGACTAATTCTCTGGATAACCTGTTCTCTACTTACTACAATTGCGTATGGGATTTGATCTCAACAGACTTAGTTACCTGAAATAAAGGATGTAGTGGGCGGGAAGTTAACAAGGATAATTGATTTCAATTTTTGTTTATTTTCAGTTTCCCTTCATCACCTTAAAGATAAAATGCAAAGCATTTATCTAGGGGGTAGACTTCAGATCTTTGAACTGTAACTAATTTGGGGAATTTTCTGGATCTTAGTTTCTTCAGATGTAATATTAGAAGGTTGTATTAATGGAATTTTTCATGTTCCTTTCAGTTCCAAAGCTATTTATTAAAAACTGTTGATCAGCATTAATGAAATGACTATTTTTGGTGTTATTTCCTCAGCTTACTTTCTGGTGAAGGTGATGGCCAACAGTAAAATGGCCCAAAGCTACTTACCTTTGAAGAAGAAATGAAAGACTTGGATCTCCAACTAGATAGTCAGTCTATGAATATTTGAGACTTGGCTGCTTACCTCAGTATGAATGAATTCTGTATATACATTTTAAGGATATGTTTTCCTGATGATGATGATGAGGGGAGTAATTATAGCTTTCATTTATTAGGGCTTGACTGTGGCAGGTACTATTTCAATTACATCACATGTAGGTAATTATTGCTATTAATTACTTGTATAAATTTCCAGAGGTTTTTTTTTTTGTATATTCAAATAAATGTGAACATCTACTCCCCTTTTACTTATATGGTAGCGTATTCCATACCTTGCTTTTTTTCTGAACAGTTTACCTTGAAGAACTTTCTCTATTAATATAGGATTTTCCCCTATTAATAGGGTTTTTTGTTGTGTGTGTTTTAAACAACTGTATAGAATTCTCTTGTAGAGGAGTAACATTTATTTAACCATCACCTGTGGAAGGGTATTTATAACGTTTCCAATATTGCTATCACAAACAGTGCTGCAGCAGATACCACATATGCGTAGTTTTGCATATATATGTATATAATTTTGATAAGTTGTTTAATTTACACTTGAAATAGTGGTGGTATTTCCATTGTCCAGAACTGTCTATTAGTTCATATGACGAATAGACATGTGTGGAAGAGATGGCTTTCAAGCAATTATGTTATGCTTCTCCCTAATAATAAATTTTATCTTAAACTTAAGTAGATTGTTTCTATAATCAGATATTTAGAAGGTTATTATTTTCTTTAATTACATGTATAAGTATACATATATGTACATGCTGCTTCTTACAATATATATTCAACTTGACTTTGAAAGATTAAAAATAAGTTTGTAACACTTACATGTACCTATTAAAATACTTCAAATCGCAGCTTACTAATGAAGTGTTCTTGGCTGTGGATTTTTAAATAGCTATCATTTCTTGTTTCTTGGCTGTGGATTTTTAAATACTTGTCATTGATTTATCACTAATTTCTGTCTTGATTTCAGTTTTTCAGATTTTACAAGGAAATACATACATGTAATCCAGCCTGCAAGTTTTAAGACTCTGTGGTTGGATGAAATTTTAAATGGGCAGTATCTGTGTAGAAATGGGTCTTTTGATTTATTCCTGTTTGAGTTAGGCAATTTTTTTTCTCCTACTGAAGGAAGATCTATTATGAAGAAAGGAACAATATTTGAATACTGTGTGTTTTTATGTACTATTAACATTATATTAAGACAGAATATCCTATTTTATGATAATAGACGAAAAAAACTGTTTTTTAGTTAGCAATACTTCCATTTGTGCTGAAAAAAAAAATCCAGAAATAATTGAAACCTAAATGAAACAAACTTAATCATCACTTTGTTGTTTGGTAATGGAAATGCAAATAGGTATGTAAATATGTGGTACTGTGCCTTTTAAAAAGTTTTCTGTGCTTCAGTTCCCTGGCAGACAGTTTGAGGCGCTAGCTCCATTTGTGATGCTGATAAAACAGAACACGGTGTACATATATATGTGCCCTCCCCAGGCACAGAAGAAATGCTTTCCTTGTGTAGACAGAGTGCTAATTAAAGGATTTTGAACACACTGATTCAGAGAAAGCACGGTAACAAAGCTGCTGAGTTATTTCTGTTCTCTTACAAAAGTCTCTGCCATCTCCTGTGACCTTTTTGGGCCTTGTGCAGTGGGGCATGCAGTTCATTCTGGATTGGAGAGGATGGGGAGGGAGGGGGAGGAGAGAAGGGAATGTTGGCTCAACTGTGCTGCTAAGCTGTTGGCTTTTCATTGTAGTTATTTTTAACCCCTTGTGCGGTTCAAACATGCCTAGTTACATTGCCTAATAAAGATGTATGCCTAGGAACTAATTTATATTGTAAGATTATTAATGTTACACCTCATCTTAATTACTTCTCTGGTTATATTTATTCTGCCTTTATGTAATATATTTTAGTGGTCACCAGATTAATAGTTATCAAGAAGCAATTAAAACCCGAACGCATGCCTTAAAACATGTAATTTAGTGATTTTTTATTTTAATAGTGTGTATGAAATTCTTAGCAAGTTCTGGAACATAGTATTTTCTCAGTTATCTATTACCATAATATCATTATAAAATTAAAAAGAAAAAATTATTTAGAGACTTGAAACATCAAATCTCCAATAATTGTAGGAAACATAGCAGTTATGATTTTTTACCTTATAGTCTGTTGGAACTGAAAAAAAAAAATCACAAGTTTGTCCTTAGATAGGAAGCTGCATCTTTAGAGTTCAAAAGTATACAGCTTTTCCTTGGGTCAGGTATTATTATTTTGAACTACAAAGGGCTATTTATGTTCCCTTATAACATTTGAACTCTATGATATGGAATGTATTTGAGATAAATAAGCCATTGGCTGGGACTTGAACATTCTGTTTTCTTGAGATTTTGTTGTTACCAGCATATGAATATGCTGAACATGACTTGTATCTTAAAGCATATGAACTGTAAAAATTTTAATATTTCACCCAAATTTGTTCATCACCTATATTATATGAATTATGCATTCCCTTTTAGTATGTTGATTTCTAAGATAAGATTGGTAATTTCTGCAAACTCTTAAGAGAGTCTCAGATTGCCATTAACTGCATCATCATGAGAGCCATTGTCTTCAGTTTCCTATTCTTAAAATGGAGTGCTGGCTACAGGAGTTTGCAGGCTCTTTTTATGACCCTGCATTTATGGAATTGCCTTGAAACCGTGGAATGTGGGGATGGGTTTTATTGTAGCTGTGTGGGTTTGTTGGTCTTTGCCAGTATATTTTATAAGAAATAGGAGACCTGTTTTACAATTCAAGACCATATTTTGGAAAATTGATGTTTCTCATGATGGAATTACAAGAAGAATAACATTTTTGTGAATAACATCTTTTTAATACCATATCGTAGACTTGAAGTACTCTGCTGCATGTTATTTTCTGATGTATGAAAATAACATGCAGTATTTTAAGTAAGAGTATTTTACTTAAATGCCAGTATTTGGATTTTCTGAGGATCTCCCATTTTTTCATAAAAACATCTACAATGTTTCTTTAGTAGATAAGAATGAGGTCATGCATTTTGTTTATTTTTATTAATTATTTAAAAATTTTTTATTGTTGAAAGCATTACAGATGTCCCCTGTGTTGTTTTCCCCTCCCATGGACACCCGCCCCTCTGCAGCCACATCTCACAAGCCTTTGCCACACTATTATCTGTGTCCTTAGGCTATGGGTATCCTATCTAATAAAGAGGGAATATGCTAATTGACCCTCATGCCATCTCAAAAGATGGCGGTGCCCACAGCCAATAAGGAGGGAATATGCTAATTGACTGCCACGCCCTCAAAATGGTGGTGCCCATAGCCAATAAAGAGGGAATATGCTAATTGCCACACCCTCAAAGATGGCAGCACCCACAGCCACAAGATGGTGGCGCCCAGTCCCCTCAGCCCCACTGGGGCGCCTGCCTCTGGAGTCCCCCAGTCCCCCCAGCTCCCTAGCCACCCAGGGCCGCCAGAGGTGCAGGTAACCAGGACCGGCCGAGGTTTGCGCTACCGGCAGTGGCAGCAGCAGAGGTGTGATGGGGGCGTCACCTTCCCCTGGTCACCGGGTTGCCTCCCACTCCTGAGGGCTCCCGGACTGTGAGAGGGGGCAGGCCGGGCTGAGGGACACTTTCCATCTCCCCCACCCCCTGTGCACGAATTTCGTGCACCCGGGTCTCTAGTATGCATATAATATTCCTGGGTAATCTCTCCCTCCCCCTCTGAAATTCATCTGTCTGTTCATGGTTCTGTGTCTCTGGATCTATTTTGTTCATCAGTTTATTTTGTTCATTAGATTCCACATATGAGTGAGATCATGTGATATTTATCTTTCTATGACTCGCTTATTTCGCTTACCATAATACCCTCCAGTTCCATCCATGCTGTTGCAAATGGTAAGAATTCCTTCTTTTTTACAGCAGCGTAGTATTCCATTGTGTAGATGTACCACAATTTTTTTATCCACTCATCTGCTGATGGGCACTTAGGCTGTTTCCAAATCTTAGCTATTGTAAATTGTGCTGCTATGAACATAGGGGTGCATATATCCTTTCTGATTGGTGTTTCTGTTTTCTTAGGATATATTCCTAGAAGTGGGATCACTGGGTCAAATGGGAGTTCCATTTTTAATTTTTTGAGGAAACTTCATACTGTTTTCCACAGTGGCTGCATTCCCACCAGCAGTGCATGAGAGTTCCTTTTTCTCCACATCCTCTCCAGCACTTGTCGTGTTTTGTTGATGGTAGCCATTCTGACAGGTGTGAGGTGATACCCCATTGTCGTTTTAATTTGCATCTCTTGGATGATTCGTGACTTTGAGTATTTTTTCACATGTCTCTTGGCCTCCTTCTTGTATGTCCTCTTTGGAGAAGTGTTGGTTCAGGTTCTTTTCTCATTTTTTAATTGGATTGTTTGTCTTCCTTTTGTTAAGTTGT